GTTGTCCTTAACAGACAATGGAAAAATATTGGCAAAATAAATCATATTAATAACTATTAAAATCAAAGAATTGCCAAAATTTAAAACCTTGAACGATATAAAGCAAGTGACCGACACTTTATATTTTACAAATATTACTACTGTAATAGAGTGAACATGTCATGCCGTCGACTCAAGTCATGCCGCGATGGCACTGCAGCTCTTCTCCAGCGCAGAAAGTCTTTTTATAGCGGACAAACTAAGTTAAACTCAAATAACCCACACTGAGTAAAGCATTTTAATACATTCGTATTATTTCTGTATTTTGTTTACATCATGTCTCTGAGATTTATAAACAGGTTTTTTTGTCTAGCCAATCACATCACTTCATGTGACTGCTAATTATAACTAACCAATCATGTGCTTGGTACAAATTTTGTACCAAAGGAAGAGAGATTTGTATCGCGTGCCACCAGAGGTTCTCTTCGCCTCGCGTAAAATAAATATACGAGCGGGAATAAGGCGAAAGATACAGAACCTCTGGCAACCAGGGTAACTGGAACGCTACCTTCAGATAAACTGCCTATCTTTTTCTTGAAGCCAATTCCACGTGTTTATATCATGACCCTTCAAGTTTGGCTTCAAATTTCCCGCTGGAGGTAGCATTTCAGTTATATTCATTTCACTGAGAGTTATAGGATGTTAGTTCCAGTCCCTTTATATTTTTGTCCGCGCGGTTAACACGAAGCTGGCTTCACTTTCTGGACTCGGGTACTCACTCCAGATACATAAGTAGCTCACTGGGTCAAAGGCAGTGAGCTCCATTTATACCTTGAGCAAAAGAACTCGGGGGCCAAAAAGTGAACCTAAGATGGCGGAAATCGAAGGAGCTATTGCACGTCAGTTTCAGTCTCCTACATACAGTATATAGTTAACCCGCTAAACCGCGCAGGAGACTGAAACGTCCAATAGCTCCTTCAATTTCCGCCGTTTTGGCTTCACTTTTCTCATAGGTCGAATGAGATCGCAAATAATTTCTGCGAAAATGTAGATCCCTCAAAAATTCTGGGAACTACAGTACTAAAGGTTCCCAGGTTCCAATACTTTTTCAACCTGTGAGTGACTCAATCGAATATAATGTGTTATTTCAGGGTGATCTGTGCAATGATGCCATTGTGGCTGAATGCTGTTTCCCGTGTGCTTTGTGCCAGTTGTCGAGGGAATTGGATGTTTTGGGTCGATAAGCTGTCTGTCTAGTTGTAACTTTCACCACAATGTAAACGTTAAGTTTTACGGCACATGTACTACATATATTGCCTCTTGGTTCATGCTAGTTTGGATTTAGTACATACAGTATGTTAAACACGCACTATTTTTATGCAATAAATATCTTTGCTAGATAATGCAGGGTTCTCCTTATCAGGCGGTAACCGGTAAAATTTACCGTTTCCACGAGCACTGATTACCGCCTGGAGAAGCCTAGAGATTGTGTACGTTTGTTAAGAAATAATTAGTAATACGGTGTGCAAAAATCCTATAATCAATCAACAGTGGCGTAGCCAGCTCGACGATTCAGTCCCGTTATGCAAATATTGCCATGTTCATCGGAAAAAGTGCTACGAAAATCGGGAAAGAGAGATTTAAAATGTTGTCGTCCGGAAAATTTTTTCCTCATTGGGGTTTGTTAGCCTGCGAACAGGCCCTGGGTTGCGGGCGGCGCGAAGAATAGAGGGCCTGCACGGATGATAGGTTTTCTTGGTAGTGGCGTTCGTATAGAAACGCAGGCTTCTGATTGGCTTACACTCGTTGACAAAATTACTAAAAATAGCAAATGTCAACAACAGCATTTTGAAGAATTTGAACTTTATTCATTTTAATATTATATATTATAGGACTATCGAACAAATAAAACTAGAAATGGAAACCAAAAGCAATAGCAAAGCATCACAGCAAAAAAGTCTATCATAAATGACTTGAATCTATCGCTTAAATCCAATATACGAAACTATAACAGTATTCTGAACTTCGTCTTCGGATTGACATCAGACTATAGTATAGTACATTTTGAGGTCGTCGTGGCTTCACGGATTATTCTCATTAGTGAGCAAGTCAGCGAGCGAAGGCATACAAAAGATACCCAAATATGTACGAATAATTATATTGTTGATCCTCGCTGGCATGTCATTTAGATAAATATATATCGTACATTAAACGTTGTACTATTTACTGTATATTAACTGCTGACAATTTCGTCGTCGATACGGCTTCCGCTATTGGCACACTCGTGATTTCGAAGAAATTAATAAATACATGCTCATTTATCATTTATTTAGACCACAGTTAGTAAAATTTTAAACGTATTTGGTATTCCAAATCCCAATCTATCTGACCGTATTTTAGTAATAGCTTCAAAATATTCAGAACATTGTTGATTGTTCTTTCAGAAATTATGCGTAAATTACTATTTTATTCTCAGTTTTCTTCGAAAAAAAAAACACTAAAGAAATACGTAAACATGTTTCTGGCTTGTCAACAATGCAAAGCAACAATAGAATTAAATTACTATTACTGTAATTTGAAAAAATGCCGTGGAAACTGCCAAAATTAAATTGCCGTAGACAGCTATTACGTTCTACGGCAATTTTTAACATCATTGCCGTCGATTGATTTCAGGGAAATTCGAGACCTGGTGCTATACGATGTGAATTAATTGTTTGCTCCCTTTTTTCCTCTCAGAAGAAGTCATGAATAGTCCATTTTCTTTGTTGATGATTTTCGCCGTTGCTCTGACTGCATGGATTCAGCCATCTGTCGCTCAATGTGATCGGTCAGATACACATTTGATACTTTAATTAACTAAACTAGAAAATACATGCATGCAGAAACCCTCGCCTTGCTGACAAAACCATTCCAAAGTTGTTGTCATGGTAACACGATAATTTTTTAAGAATATTCTTACAAATGAAAAATCGCCTAAAAATATCACTTTTAATTACAAAATTATCAATTTCCCAACATATATATGTTAGGTTGTTATTATACGTAATATAAGCTTCAATTTAAGGTAAAATTCAACCACAAAAGCTTCGCAAAACGTTTTAAAATGTTCTTTATAAAACTATTTAAAACTTCCTTTAATTATTAAAATCGCTTTATCGATAAACTTTGAGTTTGCAATGAAATGATTTCAAATTCTCGCATGCAAATAATTTTGCTTTCTTTTTTATTTAAAAAATTAAATATAGGCCTAATAAAAAAGGGAATCAATATTATTAATACACTGAAATTATATGCTGTCTTGTTTAGTTGTTTCATATACGCAAAGCCAAAGGGTCAAAGCGGCCGTCGGGTTTTAAAGTAATTATAATATCAATATTTAAAACAAACTTACCTTCGTTGACGTCGGCTCCCTTCTTTTACCCGATTCTTTCACCCTTTCTTTCTTGAAATTTACAAAATCTTGCAAAAATGCGAACAAAAATTAAATATATTTGCAAGAAATTTATCAATCATCAAATCAAGAAATGTTTGCTATTTCGCTGTCGTCATACTGTCGACAATCGTTAAAATGCACACTTTAAATTGGACCAATCAGTGTCCGCTATTCATGACAGTCCGCCATATTTTTGAGATCAGTGAGGATGACCACCCACCACCATAGATATAGGAGACCTAGATTTCTGACTCTAATGTTTTCTATAACGCACGAGCGTGACACTCATGAGCATTCAAAATGGCGGCTCAACCGGGCAAAAATCATAGAGCGAGATAGGGAAAAACCATGTTTTTCTCATTTTGCGTCGTCCTACAGCTTCCGATCCCGTTCTATCACTTTATTTTGGCAAGAACTAACTGGTGTGAAGGTTTTGGATGAATATTTGTACAATTTAAGTTTAATAAAGACGAAATAATCGATCGCTAAATGTTATCTGAAAATCATCACATAGTCGGTTGAGCAGTTCGAGAAATTTTGTTACAGAAAATAAAGGTTTTGGTTCTGTGGGTGCTTTTTTTCTCGAGGATCTCGGTTGGGATATATAACAGGGAATAATAATTATTGTGAAGTATTTTGAAGTTAAAACCTATTTTACTTAATTTATTTGGTCTGCTGGTGCGAAAATTCTGATGCTCTGTTTAGTGTGACTTTGACAACCTCCTTGCTGCTGCAGATGTCAAGGGATCTCAAGTCTATATGGCCTGGACAGTGAAAAGTGATGAATCAATCAGGTTTGTAGAGAGAACCAGTGACAGCGAAAGTTTTCAATGGAAACTAGTTTGAAGAAACTGACTAATTTGTCTGGTATGCATAAAAACCTTCACAGTATCTAGTTCTCTCCAAGAAACCTGATTGATTCATCATTGATAATCAAAAATAGATGGGACGGCATCTTCGTTTAGATATTTCTTGGATAAGTTGGATTGGCCTTTTATTGATTGCTCTCCACAATCAGCACTCTCCCCTTCAGGCACTCTCCCCTTCAGGTAATCTCCTCTTGAGACAGCTGACTTAAGCATCAGCACTTTCCCCTTGACGAGTAAAATTGTCTGGCGTTAGACAGAGTAAAATAATAAAATAGAGGACAAAACAACTCAATGGGTTAACTAGACACATGAGCAGATAGGCCAGTTAACCCATTAAGTGCCACTGCTCTCCCCTTGATGAGTAAAATTATCTGGCGTTAGACAGAGTAAAATAATAAAGTAGGGCGCATTGCAATTCGATGGGTTAATATAATCATCAGGTGTGAAGTGTTTCTCACACAAGACAGGGTTCGTACGGGTCCTGGGAAACCTGGAAAGTCATGGAATTTCGATATTCCAAAATCCAGGCCTGGAAATCCTGGAAAATCAATTCTAGTCATGGAAAGTCATGGAAAATTGAAATTTTACATGACATTAACAAAGTATTTTACTTATTTCAATTTACCAGTCATAACAATAATATGAATTGCTGTTACATAACAGATTTTTGCAAGAGCGAAGTGAATTTTGTTCTTTTACTATATCTGTTATCGTTAAAATATTAACGAATTTCGGAAATTCCAGACTTCCAGGTCATCGATTTTGAAAAAAATAGTCATGGAATTTTAAATCGGAGAAGGTGTACGAACCCTGACAAGACTGGATATTTGATTGGCATCCAGTCTGCCCATTTCATTTTTTAGCAGGCTGGGATTGGTTATAGGAAATCCAATAGTGCAAAGGGAAAGATGTATTTTTGGTTCACTGATGTGAACAAAAGTAAAACATTTTTGACCTTGACAGTTGTTGTCAACATGCATGTATATAGAGAGAGAGACTCCTAACACAGATTGACACAGACATCAAAACAAGTTGTTTGGTCCAATATTCTTTTATTAAAACTGTAAATAGTTTTATATTGTAGCTAGCAAACTCAAAACTACATTTGTTGTGACGTTGTCATTACAGTATTTACAAAACAAATTGTTTTTATTCTATTAATATTAAACTATTCTGTTTATATGATGTAAGTTATAGACTTATAGTGTACAAATATATGATGTGTGTGTTTCATAGACGTATTATGGAAGGAAAAGCGAATACCATCTTTTAAATCCCCACGTCTGCCTTGCACTAATACGATGAACACGATTCAGGCCGACATTCAAGCATTCTTTTCGATAAAACCCCCCAGATATTTTAATAGAGTAGAAAGCCCTAGAATTTTCAGATGAAAATACTGTATTTTGGTTGAAATAACAATGAAAGAACAAAATAAACAGTAGTAGCTTTTGGAATAGTTATATATATATCACATTACTTGAGAAAAAACTCGTAAAAGACTGAAGGAATAAACAGGAAGAAACTGAAGACGAAAAGCGCGCGATACTGCAGGCCTGCCCTATCTTGCCCGCTTGAATTGTAATTTGTAAATTGTATTGATTGTAACAAATATTCATCCAAAACCTTCACACCAGTTAGTTCTTGCCGAAATAAAGTGATAGAACGGGATCGTAAGCTGTAGGACGACGCAAAATAAAAAAAAACATGGTTTTCCCCTATGTTGTTCTATGATTTTTGCCCGGTTGAACCGCCATCTTGGATTTTCAAAATATGTCACGCCGGTTGAGCCGAATCAGCAATCTATGTCTCCTATATCTATGCCCACCACCCACCGAACCACTCACGGTAACCCACGCCCGCGCTCATTGATGAACTTTAGACTTGGCTAATGCTTTCGTTTCCCCGGGTGAAATAGCCTGGGGGAATTAGTACCCTCGCACGGCGCTTCGCGCCGTCGGCTCGGGGATTACTATATCCGAGAGTGTAGGGAGTATTAAGCTGTGATTTATGCGCACATCCAGGGATTACTAAAAGTAGAGTCTCTGAAATGCCATTTCCTGGACTTTGGGGAAGATTTGACAGAATTCGGATAGTCAGAAAACAGCGTTTTAGTATGTCGAAATTTACAATTTAGTAGTACTAAATGGGCGAAGGCGTATTTAATTAACTATAAATTATATTCAATAAGTTGCAGGAAAGTATGGATAAAATCTTCAATCTTTGCAGTTTGTCACAGATTAAATGATAAAGGTCTGCATGATTTTTAAAAAAGAATATTATTAGCAAATTACTGGGGGGGGGGGACGGCAGCCACAACCCCCACCGCCCGATTGCTACGGTCCTGCATACCAGAGATGCATTTTGCAACGACGATGTCTTTAAACCATGAAGAAGTTTTAGCGGCTGCTGTTGAGGACAGAAAATTACTTCTCAACGCCTTTCAAAACGACGGTCTTTTTAATTCTGAAGACGATATGGTTAATATAAATAACAGTAGACCCTATATTAACTGTTGCATTTGATATAAAGCATTTACATTGTTATTATTAACTTATTAAATACATTTGTAAAGTGCATATTAGCATATGAATGTTCAGATGTGCTGTTATACAATTGTTACTGAAACTATTAAATATACAGTGTGAAAGTAAAAAATTTACAGTATGAAAGATCGATCATTAATTAAAATGTTACTAGCTAAAAATGAGCAAAACTAGTAACAGAAACACGCCGGGTCAGCTGTTCTCACAAATCGGCCATCTAATATAAACTTTTTCAATATTTTTCGGATGGACATGAAACTTGCTACATCAATATAACTTTCCATTCCGAACAATCGTATGTTTTTTATTTTTGAGATTTAACGGGTTTTGGCGGGAAAATGACGTCACGAAACCTCCAGTTAAAATTTATTTTCAATATCTTAATAGTTTTTAAGCAGAATGTGGAATATCATGTCATGAAGATTTCAAAACTGAAAACAGATTTTAAATATCTTAATCTAATCACGAGATACAGGGAGTTTAGAATCCAATTTTCCACCATTTTGTTACTATTTTTAGATTTTTCACGGTTTTTATGGTGAAATAACTTTGGATTAGATTTAGATATTTAAAATCCGTTTTCAGTTCTGAACTGTTCATGACATGTTCTTCCAGATTCTGCAACAAAACTATTAAGATATTGAAAGTAAATTTTAACTGGAGGTTTCGTGACGTCATTTTCCCGCCAAAAACCGTTAAATCTCAAAAATAAAAAACATACGATTGTTCGGAATGGAAAGTTATACCATAGTTAATATAATGAGAGGGTTTGGAAGGCCGGCAAACTTCAAAGCAACACGTGACCTATTGACACATAAACTCGAAGAGAGGCATCACGTGACAGTTAAGGTGCATAACATGGTGATTTCATAGTATAATCTATATTAATTCTATATTAATTGGGTTTTTTTCGATGGTTTTACAACGTTTTGATAAATGTAAAGACTTTATCGTACTTTGCCTATGCAAAAGGCAACGTTTAAGACATTTTATATTCCATTGGCCAATCTGCTCCCGCTTTACACTGTAAAAATCACTATTCACTAATAATCTATAAAGTTCGTTGATATATGATATATCACATACTGTAGCCTTCTCAAAATTCTGCTTACTAGTAAATTTTATACAAAAATACATCCACTGCTTTAAAGTTTTCGGCTAAGGTAATATTTTACCGAGTATTCTCACGCAAACTTGTGTTTATTCAAATTTATACGACTATGAATGTTTGAAACAGCCAAAATATATATTTCCATACAGATCGAGCGCTATTGTTTTCGACTCTAAAGGTCCTGACCTTACACCGCACTGATATGTATTAAAATGTCGCATCATATATAATAATAGAGACCTTACGATTTTAGGACGGCAACGCGACGACGATTGGCTTGTGATGCGAAAGACTTTATACACCGCACTGATATGTATTAAAATGTCGCATCTTAGATAAAACAGACTTTACGATTTTAGGACGGCAACGCGACGACGACGGCCAAAACAAACTCCTTCAAATAAATGATAGTAAAGATAATTCGTAGTATATTATCAATCGTATGAACTTAATACAGTTTTAGAAGTTGAAGACATGGGTAGAGTTTTTCTGAACCCGGTTTGATGTTGCACTTGTTGCGGCTTGAAATGCAGCCGTTCTATCAAGACGTGAAAATCTGTGATTTGGCGTTGTAAACAGAGCGAGGACACTGTCTAAATTATTCATATATTGTAATTTTTCAAATTTGTCTCTAATGTATACTTTAATACAACACTCATATTCTTCTTTCCGCCTAAAATGCCTCTCACAGATATACAGATTTCCGCTATTGATTTGTCGACGCAAACTTTCGTCCACAGAGTGGTCCTTCGAGTAACACTTACCTAAGCTTCGCGGGTTTTCTCCGATAATTCATCTGTTTCTGCAGGAATTTTAAAAATACCTACTCCAACGTGCTTTTGACTTGCTGCCCAACTAAATATGGAGCAATTCGCTCCTGGCATCGCGAAAAACTTGCCTAAATACGATGATTTTGTGTCCCCCTTAGCTTAATCTATATGATTTTACTAGGTAAACACCTCGTCAATGCACCTTGGCTTCCACGTGACAAAGAACAATAAGTTATTTTGTCACGTGACCTCGCCTTCCAAACCCTCTCATTATATTAACTATGGTTATACTGATGTGGCAAGTTTCATGTCCATCCGAAATATATTGAAAAAGTTTATACCAGATAGCCGATTTGTGAGAACAGCTGACCCGGCGTGAAAATCAATAAAAACTAGTAAGTGATATCCTAAGCTATACGAAAAAAGTATGCTTTTAATTGATTTTTAATTAAAAGTGCAGATTGATTTCAAAAATCTTATTATCCTTTGGCAGGCGATTCCATAATCTTGCACTGATATGAAAAATATGTATTACTTTTTTTGCCACATACTGCATTTTACTATTCATTTTTGAGTGTATCTAAAAGTTGAGGGTCGAGAGTCGAAAGTAAAGGTCGAGAGTAAAAGTCGAGAGTCGAGAGTAAAAGTCGAGAGTAAAAAGTCGAGAGTAAAAAGTCGAGAGTCGATCGAGAGTAACTGAAAAGTCGAGAGTCGGCAAAATTGTCATCAGAAACAACAAAGTCAAAATATTTTTAACACAATATATATTAACCGATCCGTAACAATGGCTGATAATAGCCGTATGGGCGAGGGGGGGGAAGGCAGTCCCGCCCCCCCCAGTCAAAATAAAGTCATGCAAATTATAAACGTATAAATTCGGGCAAAAATAAATATGTAAAAGTAACGAGGAATCGACAAATAGGAAAATATTTTTGTCTACTTCCCAACGACAATTTTGGAAATTTAGTTACACGGAAAGTTTTATTCAGTGGGTAAAAGTCGGGTAAATTTTCTTTCTGGCTCCCTGATTTTTTCCCGCTCGTACGCTTATGACGGCTGAACTAATTTCATTTCCTATATCGGAACATAAAGCAAACAATATTTGAGAAACATAATTAGTATGCTCAAATTCTCGAAATTAAAGTAAACAAGAGGCATACACAATCAAAGGAATAATCCAGTATAATATAAAACAAAAACTTTCGCAAACATTTAGCCACAACATTCAATAATAATAACTATTATCTAAAAACTAGTTTTATCGCTTCCTTATATATTACTGTCCATCCTTCCCGCTTTTACATGCACCTATTTCCGCGAAAAATTACTCATATCACATATGTGAAGCTACATATAAATACTAGGACTTTACAATCACGTGCGAGACATATGACCACCTGATAGAGTCACACATACGACAAAACAATCCTATTTTTACTGGCTCATATTTATGAATTCACAATTGTATGAATCGTTAGATCGATTGTGATCAACGTGGATTTCTTAATACGCTCTCGTTTGATATAAACGTATGTTAATGAATACTGTAAGTGACATTTTAGAGGGTCCTGAAGGGGTAAAATGGGAACTGGGATTTGCTTATTTTTGGGTGGGAAAATGGGATTTCATGCACTGGGACTGGGATTCATCAGCGAAAAAACAATAGAAAATGGGAATGGGAATATTTTAGCAGGACAGCCACTGAGATGATGGGATTTGTGCTCTGGGACAATGGGATTTACATGGGCGTACGGGAAGGAAATAATTAGGGGGGGGGGGGAATTTGCCCCACTTTTTCGGATTGTGCCCGCGTTGTTGCCCGACTGTGAAGTGAATATTGCTGGACTGGCTTTGTTTGTCCAACAAACTGGGGGGGGGCTCCCCCCCCCCGCCCGGTACGCCCATAGGGATTTAGTCAAAATTTGGGCTGGGAAATGGGAATACGACCCCCCCCCCTTCAGGACCCTCATTTTAGTTACAAGCCTGGAGATGGCTGTCAAAATTCAGCGGAGTTTATGTGTCAGAATGAAATGACATGTGAAAACACTTAGCAAGATTGAGGCATCAAATGCGATATTATTTGTATTTCAGCCGTTGCTACTTGTTACGGAATGGCTATGTAAAGCTATATATAGATTGTGTTAAACGTGGTTAAAAATATTTTGACTTTGTTGTTTCTGATGACATTTGCCGACTCTCGACTTTTTACTCTCGATCGACTCTCAACTTTTTACTCTCGACTCTCGACTTTTTACTCTCGACTTTTTACTCTCGACTCTCGACTTTTACTCTCGACTCTTGACTTTTACTCTCGACCTTTACTCTCGACTCTCGACCCTCGACTTTTAGATACACTCGTTCTGCAAGTGTTATGTAATTCGAAGGTCGCGGGTTCAAGACCCAGCCGCGGAAGATAACATCTTTCTGCTTGCGCTGGGTATGGAAATTATATAACACGCACTCTAGAACATAATAATATATATATATATATATATATATATATATATATATATATATATATATATATATATATATATATATATATATATATATATATTTATATATATATTTCAAAATGTAACATAATTTCCAGAACGCGCCCAAGCGGAAAGATATTGCCTGGCGCGGCTGGGTTTTGAACCCGCCACCTTCGAAATACTAGATCGACGCTCTACCAAATGAGCTACACGGTCAGCAACCTCGCAAGGCAGGGTCTTTTACTTCCGCACGGCGCTACAGCAAACACCCTGGTTGCCTCTGGTTACGTGAACTTCTAAAAATTAGGGCAACAAGAGGTCCTATGGGAATGTGGTTGAAATGCGATATGTTGTAAATTACAACTTCCGGTTAAATGTCGTGTTTGCAAAGCCCAACCGAGGAGTGATTGTAAAGCTATGAGAAGTGACTTCAACTGTAATATGCAATATCATTCAAAATGTATTATTTTCCTTATTTGTCTGCAGTTTTCTATTAGAAATATTTTCTATGCAAACACTATTTTGAAGCCCAACCAGGTTATTTGCTTGGAAAAGCTGTACTTTGACGTTTATATACTGCCAATTTTTCCATCCGGTAATATGGCGAGTCGCTGATTTACCAGCTTTTGCCTTTGATGCTTTTCGCTAAAAGAGCGTTAGAAGAACGTCCAACTCATGGCGTTTGTATAAATGAGTAATGCCTGATGCTGCTCGTTACAGTATATCGCGAACGCGCCTTTGATAAACAATCCAGCTCGAAAATTATGTGCGATAAAACTCAGAGTATCAGCAGCCATTAAAACGTCACAACGAAGAGATTGATTACGATGTAGCTGAACTTGACCAAAAGACAAAACTAATTCTACATGTCATTTTTCAATCATCCATTATATTGTTATCTCAATTTTGTTCACTTTATGCCAAGCGTAGTATATTGTGTGTAAGTGTTGTATTTCATAACGTACCAGTCGTATACAGCATACAAACTTGACCGAAGGCACATAAAAGAATCACTTGGCTTGCATAAAGAGCCATAATTGCTTTGAGTTGGTTGCAAATTTGACCGAAAGAATAACTTTTACGAAAAGGCATTCAGAAACAGGCATTGATATTGATGCCTTGGAGGACATTTGCAGACCAATTTATGCTGTAGTGCATGTATGCAAAACACAATATTTATGTGTTGAGTGTAGTTTAGATATGAAAAGGGAATGATTTTACCTGATTAGACAAATATTTTTGGGCCTGTAAAATATTCTTGACTTTGTACCAAATGAATACACATTTAATCACAAATGTGAATTTTGTTGAACTCAGTTTTTTTAAAGTGGGCACAAGTTGCACTATGTTCACACTCTCTCATATATATATGACATCATTTGCATATATAAACTCAATTTACTTCATGGACAGTACAAAAACCCATACAGCAGTGCCAAAACAAAATTCTAAGTTGAATATATATGTATATACTGTATACAGTATACTGTAACCATACAGCTATATTTCAATTAAAGTTGTCACAGACAATAGTCAGATGTACAATAATATGAGTGCTAAATGAATAATGGGATAATGATAGTTTTCAATAAGTTTAACACCTCAAATATATTATGAATACCAATTTAATTTGTATTCCCATGAGGAATATTGATGTGTTAAAATAGGATCTTTTTTAACGTTCAATTGCAATTGTACATTTAACTATTGTCTGTGACACTAACCTTAATTGGAGTAGCTGCCGTTTTAATGTAGGACAAGTGCAAATTGTGCATCTATTAATCCTTTCAAGCTAGGGTATAGTCTTGGTAGCGCTGCCTGTGTTACAGCCATGCAAATCATTGTTGCTTATTCGTGCTGGTGTAACAGTATTCACAGTCATAATTCCTCTTCATCTTCTGATGTGTCCACTGGTACGTGCTTGGTGAATGTTCCTCTTGTCGATTTGTTTAACTAGTTATCAAATGCAGCGACAATTTGTCTATAATGTTGCTAATGTATCTGATGATATATCTCTGAAGAAACCTTCATGAAAGTGATCATATATTGTTGATTGCAAATGGTTTCAATTCCAAGAGATCAGATAAAATAACATTTTCTCCGAAGATTTGTGCTTGTGAGAGGAATGATGCCTTCTTGACTAATTCCTACAGCTATGTCGAAGTTGTTTATCATTTCTGCAGATATCTCTCCAGTCGCTCTACTTTAATATTAAACATTCGATTGACTTTCACTGTCTTGGGTGTTTTTTGGCTCCCATTCTTTTAATTTAATTTAATGTTAATTTAGGAAGATTATAAAATCCGTCATTGGTCATCACACGCAAGAGTTCCACAATTCATAAATTCTGCGATACGAAGGAGGTTTTTATTTCGCTATTCAGCAAGCTCTAAGAATAGCTGGTTGTTGCAATGCTTCTTGTCGATAATACTACCACAAAGGCGACTCAAAACAAAGCGGATTTCGGATAAATCACCTTTGCAGTTTCCTTTCGCTGTGCCATAGCTTGAGAGCTACTGAATACTGTACTTTGACTTTGCATAAGTGTGCATTCAACCTTTATTTTCTTTGCGTTGATAAATAATGGCTCCACTTTAAAGGTGTAAAACAGACTTCCAGTCATGCAAATGATATCAAGCAGGTGTATAATAATAATAATAATAATATAATAATAATTAAATAAAGCGCATATGTTATATTATATACTCGAAGCGCTGTACATTATAAAAATCTAAATATATTAAGAATTAAATATGCTATATAAAACATGGTATTGTATACAATTAGAATATACATTAATGTATGTATCTATAATAAGAATGATAGAATCCAATATGGTCTCAACCTATAAAGGGTTATAAGCCTTATTGAAAAGAAATGTTTTCAAGCGTTTCTTAAACACAGAAATGTTTTCACAGTTCCTTTTCACAGTGTAAAAACCTTTCAAGCGGTGACATATTTCATAAAAGATAACACAAAAACCGACAAAAAACCCCAAAAAGGTTTAATACAGAGCGTAAATGGCCGTATTTTCCATAGGCATAGTTATAGATGTTTTCGTTTTCGCTCTTGAAATTCCCCTTACCACTCCTCCCTAAGTGGAAAGAGGCTGCAATTCGAATTACCCCTAAAATCTGGGGGTTCACGTGACCAGAGGGAACCAGGGTCTTCGCCGGAGCCCGAGCGCAGGTAAAAGACCCTGGCTTGCGAGGTTGCACGGTCAGACGGATTTAAGACTGGAAATTATGAACTATATAAAACCCAGCCGCGGCAGGCAATATCGTTCTGCTTTTTTCCATTATTCTACCTTATAAGTACCAAAAGAAGCTATATACATAAAAAAACTGGATACTAATGACTGTTTTGCGAAATTGACAGCAATTTCAAATCTGTTCAGTTTTTTTTTATACACCCTGCATGTAGCCTATATATAAATTTGCTTCAAAAATTATGTATAATATAATTATTATATATTATATTTGAAGAGCTCGTTGAACTGTTACTCTTTCGTAGAACAAAACAACATAATTATGTAACGCCAGTTAATTCTGACAAAAGATTGATTTGCTTTGTTCTGTAGAATAAACCTACCTAAAAAGGAAGCACCATGAATTCACAATCTAAAGCAAGAAAGGACCTTTTGGACACCATTGAGCATTTGATAGACGACATCAACGAGATAGGCAACGAAAACTTGCTTGACCATGTGAAAACACTGCACCAGAAAGTAAAGGCAGTTTTTGACAAAAGTAAAGCCGAAGAAGAAACGTGGTCGAAAACTATCCGTGAATTAAAGCTAGAAGTGTCTAATTTAGAAGGGGAAGTACGAAAACTTAAAGACAGGCTTGCTGAAGCGCAAGCAACGTGGATTTGGGAATCGCATGTGGCAAGATTCGTCATTTCGTCGAAAATTAAGTTAAATAAATTCGGCAAGGAAAAACAAATGATGGATTGTGTGAAAAAAGAGGAAGAGAATGGTAAAGAAGAATCGTACCGTTGGAAACGAATCCAAAGCGCTATCAAAGTCGAATGGACGGTTGCCCATACGCTCTTGATAAAATCCATAAGAGATGAAAGAAATCATATTGCCCATCCCTCCTACATCGACTTACACGAAATAGAAAAAAGCCTTATGCATGATGCTTCTGAAGACGAAAGACGATGCATCAAAGATATGATGAATATGCTAAAACTCAGCGCAAGTTTGATGAAATTTGGAAGGCTAGCATATGATTATAACAAGAATAAATTATCGCTTCTGCACCCTTGTTTCACGAAAGAACATGCTCGCGCAATTGGTGATATGGCGACATGGGATCGTGAGTTTCAGCAAATCCAAACTGGTCTACAATTTGTCAAGCCCGGCGATGCAACGTACTACTTGGAAGAATATGTTGGTCACACCAAAAGCAGTCCATATCTTGAAGTTGTAGATGCAATCAAGAAAGTAAACCGCAAACGCCTAGGTATTGTAGCGAGGGAGTTTGAGCTTGAAGTACTAAATCGTGTCGGTAAGGAGAACGAAACTGACATCAGTCGGGAGGTGGTGGAGCAGATCAAAAAAGATAGTGGCGAATGGAAAACATTCATGGAAATTACTCAAGGAAAAATATGGAGTTCTACACATAGCGATGTTCTACTTGAAATGAAGAAGCCCCCAGAGTTTGATGCAGGTCAAAATGTTGCCGAGCTAGATTTTGAAACCGCAAAATGCCTAATACCTGATTTTTTCGGGAAGTCTCTATGGAAGAGTGCTTTGGACATCATAGATTGGTTTGGAATGATGGGACCCACAAGAAGATACAGCGCGGAAAGAAAATCTTCTTCAAAAGACAGGCCAGTTCACCCAAGAAAGGTATCTCGGCGTTCTTCCTCGGCAATGTAAAACTTGAAATCAAAACACTTTCATATTTTTTATTCCAGACCTACAACCGTAATATATGTAAAAGTACTATATAACATTGTTAACTTTATAATGATCAACTATAATATTTGCAAATTATAATAACTTCTCATTAATTAAGCGAACGCGACTCTGTACAGAGAAATATCGGACCGAGGTCTTTTTTGTACAGACCGAGCCCGTAGGGCGGGGTTTGTACAAAAGTACCGAGGTCCGATATTTCTCTATCACATACCGAGCTAGCGAGGTTAATAAAAAGTCTATTATATGGCATTTATAGGCACTTATACTGGAAACAAGAAATGCCTGATTTGAAATGCATGTTAGTAGCGTGGTACACATTTGGTACCAAGCAAGATATATGGAAATCGAAGACACAAAGATGAATTAATGCTGAATTATTTTAATTGGGCTTCTTCGATGGAACTGTTAACAGTGAATAATTTTAAATTAAACGTAAATGCATTGTTCATAATTAAGTGTACATGATTTGTTGGAGCATGTGCATGTGTTCTATTAACTTAATAAAGCTTTATACTTTTATATGTTATCATCATATGTTATCATCATATGTTATCATCATATGTTATCATCATATGTTATCACCCAAGTATGGGCGCCCCAAACAGTTGAGTTGGTGAAAAGAGTAGAACGAGTTCAGAGGCGTGCAACTAAATATATTTTGAATGTTCCCTTTATTTGTGATACAGAATATAGAGACCGACTCCTTGCAACCAGTTTGCTCCCTCTCTGCTACTGGCACGAATACCTGGATGTAGTATTCTTCTATAAGGCAAATCACGACATTTTTAATATTGATAAAAAATTCTTCCATTTCCTCAACCTCAGGGTCAAAGACAGACAAGATCATTTAATCCCAACTCGCACAAATATAAAATTCCGACATACAAGACGTCAACCTATGAAAAATCTTACAAAATCCGAACATCAAGAATATGGAACACACTACCCAATTATATTACATCCAAAGACCGAACATTTTCAGAATTCAAGAATCTTCTTTTTAAGTACTATATTTTAGCATTAGAAAATACATACGATGTTGAGGATCCCCGGACATGGAAAAGTGTGTGTATAAAATGTAATTCCGCTCGAAGTTTAATGAACTCTCCATTGACATGCTGCTTTTAGACAAATGCAATGACTGTTGTTCAAGAATTGTCTGTTGTGCGTGTTTAGTATACCTTGTAAATTGTTTCTGTATAACTATTGGGGCCGCTGTAATTGGCAAATAGCTGTTGTGGTTTCCCAGCCAATGAATGTATAAGTATGATGGCAAAGTAAATAAATAAATAAAAATAAATAAATCATAGATGTATATTCAGATTTTTCTCTGGGGGTACCGGTGGAGGGAGTACTAGTGGAGGGAAGTGAGTGAGGGTGCCGTAGCGCCACCTAGCAAACTGCAGGTCTGGGGGTACAGTCGCTATCGGGGACAGAGTTGATTAAGTTCAAAATCCTTGTTTTTAAGTCTTATTCATTTCAAAATGTTTGCTCAATTAATCATACTGCTGTCATTTAATCGAACGAGCATTTATAAGAGGTGGTGCAAAATATTTGTGTGGGATGTGATCTATTGCACCCCAGAAAAAAATAAAATCTTTGATTGTCATCCGATAATTATGTTACTATGGTATTAATATTATGACTTCGCTTTGGGTATTCTGCATTTTGATGCCTTGACAGCCTTGTGCCATGTTTTGTGATACATATAACCAATAATTCCTGCCAGATAAAAGACAACAATCGTATTACATTATTAGACATTCTTCCACCTAAAAAACAACATTTATTACCAAAGTTGTGGATGCTTCTTCTCATCCATAAAACTGCATGTGTACTAATAAGAGTACATTTACATAGCGAAGGGTTACCTTATATCAACAATCAAATCATGCTTCTTAGACTTAAAGTTTGTGAAGGGCAACTTGCTTGTCTATTGGGGAATGCTGGGCCCTCATACTTATGCACAGGGCATTAAGGCTGTGGACTTTTTGTCACAACTTTAACCCATTAAACAGCAATGCGCACAAATGCGTCCTACTTTATTATTTTATTCTGTCTAACGCCAGACGATTTTTCTCGTCAACGAGAGAGCCGCACTCTTACGGGTTAATCAACGAGACGTAATGCGCATGATAATTTTTTGTCAACGATTCTTACTGACTCGTTTTATTCAGCTAACAAGTTTGATTCCATTTCATGTCTCTGAGAGTCTTCAGATTTCAAAATTTCCAGGGAGAGCATTCGCAGCCCCCACCCACCAATTTCTTAATGATGCCGTACATTGTCCACCCTACTTCTGTTTTGCTGGCTAATGCCACTGCTCGCAACATCAAATTTAGAAAAATAAGGTGAAAACTGACAAGGACTGCAGACATGCAAGGGCAGTCAACAACTGTCAAATTACTGAATGTGGGCCGGTCGTGAACCTTATATATTGTCATATTGATGTCATCAGAAACGGATCCAGCATAGTGGTCTCGGCTATGTTGCCCCCTTTGCTCCCTCTCTGGACTTGTATCAATACTGATCTATAGTAACTGTACAAACGATTTTCACACCATATTATGCTGTGAAAATCATTTTCTAGCACCATCGTTAACTGCCATTTTTAACTTATCTCTTAATGTACTTATATTGATTCATGGAAAAAGGCTAGGGTAACACCAATCATTAAATTTGTAGATATGAAAAAAATGTGATAATTACCGACCTATCTCAATTCTACCGATAATAAGTAAGATATTTGAGAAAGAAGTCTTTGATCAGTTATATGAACATTTATCTCAAAATTTATTGCTTTCTAAATAATAATCAGGATTTCGGCCAAAACACTCAACCATGTGTCCATGTCAGCACTCATCCAAATGTGCGACCAGTGATTAGAAAATATGGACAATGGCTTGTTAAACGGTGTTGCATTTTTTGACATTAGAAAAGCTTTTGACTCAATCGACCACTGTATTTTACTAAAAAAGATGAATCAGCAATTTGGAATTTATGGGGTTGAACTTAAAATGGTTTGAGTCTTATCTAACAAAGAGACAACAAGTGTGTTTTGTCAATGGTCATACATCGTCACCTAGACAAATAACATATGGAGTCCCACAGGGCTCAATTCTTGGCCCACTATTATTTTTACTACATATTTTTATATGCCAAAGTGTCTAAAGTCTACAACCTCTATGCGGACGATACTGAAATTTTTGCATCATCACTTGATTATGATACACTCGTTAAAAACCTAAATGATGATTTAAAAAATATTCAAACTTGGCTTGCCCTAAATAAGTTACAACATCATCCAACTAAAACAAAATTGATGTTCATTGGATCACCGTACAATCTTAAACATAGGATTGGTGAAGCTACTGTATTTTTTGGCGACAAATCAGTACCATTAACTCATTCTCTTGAAAGCTTAGGAGTAGAAATCGATGAAAATTTGAGCTGGGAAAAATATATTGATAAAATATGTAAAAAGGCAAGTGCCGGTATTGGGGATATTAAACGCGCTAAACCATACGTTGATATTAAAAATACACTACAAACCATATACAAGGCACTAGTGCAGCCATATTTTAATTATTGTTCCACCCTATGGGGGAAACTGTGGTAAATTGCTTCAAGACAAACTACAAAGATTTCAGCAACAAGGGGTAATAACTGGTGCCACTTACGATGTAAGGTCACTTGACATTCTTAACACCCTGTCTTGGGAAACACTTGATAACAGAAGAAAAAAATCCAAGACTGTGTTTATGTACAAAGTGTTAAATGACCACGCTCCACCGTGTCTAAAAGAATCTTTACAAAAGGAATGTAACACAAAAAATCTATAATCTCAGAAATAGCGAAAATGATTTAACTCTTCCAAAACCTAGAACAGGATATCTAAGAAGAAGCTGGGATATCTATGAAGTACAGCGGCGCTAAGTTATGGAATGATCTTTCGTCTACAGCTAAATCGGCGGATACTCTCGATAGCTTCAAAAGAGAGATAGATGCAAGCTATGCGTGCTAGACTAAGTCATCCTCACTGATTTCAAAAATATGGCGGACTGTCATGAATAGCGGACACTGATTGGTCCAATTTAAAGTTTGCATTATAACGACTGTATGACGACAGCGAAACAGCAAACATTTCTTGATTTGATGATTGATAAATTTCTTGCAAATATATCTTATTTTTGCTCGTATTTTTGCAAGACTTTGTAAATTTCAAGAAAGAAAAGACTAAAGAATGGGCTAAAAGAAGGGAGCCGACGTTAACAAAGGTAAGTTTGTTTTAAATATTTATTTTATAATTATTTTAAAACCCGACGGCCTTTGAGTATATGATAAAGTACATTTCTTGCAAGTTGTGTTTTAGCAAGATTTTGTAAATTTCAAAATCTTTCTGAGAGCCAAAAACGTCTAAAAGAATAGAGCAAAGTCGCCGACGTTAACGAAGGTAAGTCTGTTTTAAATATTGATGTATATTTTATCTTATAATTGATACATTTATAACTGATAGTGGTGGGCGATACGGCGAATATCGAACTAAACCTATCATTGCGTATATAAGTGAAAAAAAAGCATATAATTTCAGTGTAGTTTTATTAACTACCTTTTCTTTTGTATATTAAAGTATTTAAATAAAGAGGAAAGCAAAGTTATTTTCATGCGAGAATTTGAAATCAGCTTATTTCAAACTCAATGTTTACCGATAATTCGATAAAAGGCCGTTTAGTTTTGAGAACATTTTAAAACGTTTTGCGAAGCGTTTGTGATTGAATTTTTCATTAAATTGATGCTTATATTACGTATAATAACATACCTGGCATACACATGTTTGGGAAATTGATAATTTTGTTATTAAAAGTGATATTTTGGGGGAGATTTTTCAATTTTAAAACCAGGTTTAAAACTATTCTTAAAATTATCGTGTTACCATGACAACTACTTTCAATTCTTCA